AATGTCTTCAGATATTGGCAAATGTACTCTGGGGTGAGAATCAACCCCTAGCTCCTCATGCTTTGAAAATAACTGTTTTGGATATATCTTATATCCAGCATCTAATTGGGTTTCCCCACTTTTCGAGAAACTGAAGCATTTTTTTTCCTTTTAATAAGTAAAATTATCTCACAATATGTGTGATGTTTGATCTTATTCTAGCCTCTAATTTTACATCTTTTGGTGCTTATGCTTCCTATGTTTTCTATCTTTTGTTAAATGGAATCTTGTATATTGTCTGCATGCGTGTGTGTAAATATGTATTTGTGTGGTATTTTCTTTTCCTGAGATGTTAGAATGTTTATAATCTGTGTTCCAATCTTCTAGTGGTTATAGTGATAACATTGCATCATCTGTTGACACTTTTCCTTTAAAAAACAAATCAGCTTGTATTATCCATTGTTCCCAGCTATGTACCAGGAAAAAAATAACATACTCATGCTTCCGTTCACATTTGAAGGAGGTATAATTTTGTTAGCATTTTTTAAACTTAGTTTTTGTTCATTTTATTAGAATTAAGAAGAGTCAAAATTCTGTGATGGCTTTATCTCAGAAAGCCCCATCATCACCCTATACTCATACCTTTATTTTCCCCCTATAGTTTATATATACTTATATAAAGTTTTATATATACACCATATATGGACTTATATATACTTTATATATAATTATATATATATATATATACATTTCATATATTTACCTATCTATATAGATATACAGAGTATAATAGATAGATACTAATATATTTAAATACATATATGTATTGGGTTGTCGGAAAAGTCATGACGCATTTTTGCAATGAGAAACATAGAAATAATACATCATGACTTTTCCGACAACCCAATATATTTATTTTAGTCAATAGAACATTCCATCAAGGAATTAATTCTTATATATATTTCAACCCCACATAATAAAGAGCTTTGCTAACAAGTCCATTTAGTTAATCCCTAAGTATCAAAGTATATATTACAGTACTAAGAAATGTTGCATTTAATGAATAAGAAAGAAAAAGATAGACGGGCATATCACAGCTAAGATAGTTTCAACAAGTTCTAACAGAAAAATGTATTGGAGGGTGGTGTTGTATAGACTAGAACTGGAGGATAATATTTCCTGTGAAGACCCTGCTCTACTTCTCAATCTGAATTCTTTCAATATATTGAAAATGATTAACAGTGGAGGATGGCAGAGATGATCTTGTGTCAGTACATGCATGGCCTTATGAGTTGTTAGAATACTGAAATCATTCTCTTCAGATCAGGAAAGATTTGCTGCTCTGACCTCCCAGGTGCCCTGACTGCCTGAGCCCCTCTTTTAGGATCCCCGCAATCTCACCACAGTTGAAGAATTAAAGAGTCAATGCCTGTCAATTCAGGGAGCGTCAGGGACCCTGGTCTATTGCTATAGCTTTCCATTTTATTTGGTGGTGACTGTGCTAATTATAAGATGAAAATTATCCCTGAAATTTGGCAGCCAGTATGGCTTAGAGTCCCATTTCTTATTAGATGATGACTCTCAATATAAATGATAGATGATAGATGATGATGATAGATGATTGATAGATAGATAATGATAGATTAGATAGATAGATAGATAGATAGATAGATAGATAGATAGATATTCTTGGAGGCGGGCATGCTTCAGGTCCACTTCCCATTAGACAAGGAACACCCACACATACACGCGTAATGCAGTATAAAGAATCTTTTCCAAGGAAAGTTGTTGTCTGTGTCACTTAGCATTAGCAACAGCCAAATATTTGATGCTTTTAATTGAAAAAATGTAATCGCAAAGAGTGAATCTGTGAAGTCTCTAGACACATTGTTCTTAGATCTGGCATTGTCTTATATCAGGCATTAAAATTTGCCCAAAGGTACAGGTGATTCAGAACAAGCATGTAACAAGAAACTCATAGGATAAACAAATACAGAAAAATCATAAAACTAAATCAAAGGATATGAATATCATATCAGTAAAAAAAAAAAAAGAAGCAATTCCAAGGGAAACTTTCAAATGCTTCCACTATGGCTTTTTTCTTTGAGGAACAAATGCTCTCAGAATGTTGCCAACAGATTAAAAACTTGGGTTCTGGAGTTATTTAGGGAAGCCGATGATGTGCAAAGCTCTAGTAAGAGAGAAACATTGAACACAGGCACTTTTGAAAAAAAAAATGTATGTCTTAAAATGCATGAAGTGAATGTAAGTAGTAGGAAGTAATTACATCATTACTTTGCTTATCCTGACAACAGTGCAAATCAAGAAATCACCCTTGTGGCTGATCCTTTCTCCAATGTGCCTTTTGCATTTTCTGATCTTTTATATTGAAAACAACAAATATCCTACCTTATCTTTTAGTCTAAGTTTTGGGAGATGGCTAATTGGCATTTTTAAATCCATAAACAATGTTTTTAATCACTTGCAAATTTTACTTTATTAAAGACAATTCACTAATAGAAATTAAAATATCCTTGTGATTTATTTACCCTGATAATTTTTAAACCTCTTAGTATCTTTTGCTCTTTAATATTTTCTAGTATATATTATGGTAGACACCTTTCAAGTTATGTGAACCATTTTAAATATTTGTGTACCATAAATGACAGATGAACAATATTATTCAAAACTTAAAGAGATAAAGAAAAGAAAATATAAAGAAAGTACAAGTTCCATTCCCAATTAGGAATGAAAATCAACTTAATGTCACTTAACATTAAAAATTAGAGTCATTTAGAGAAGATGGCAAAATTGTTTATTAGTTTCAGGTGCTAAAAATATCATGGAGCTTGAACATCATTTGAGCTATTTATTCAGCTACTTGACAGAAATTAATCATCAGTTCTCACTCAGTTTAATCCTAAGCCTTCAGACCAAAAATGGCAAACAAATTTTTGTAAATAAAAACAGACAAGTCCATTCTTAGTGAACTTCTTTAGTGCTCTAAATTAAGGGCAGGGTTTGAGAAAGAAAAGATCTGCAACAGAACATATACAAAATTAAGGTGAAAAGTGGGTGACATATATAGCAGGAAAAAAATATGACAACTATGACTTTTTGCATGAAATGTGCCTTTTGCATTATTTAGATATTGCAATATCCCGATAAGGGGAAACTTGGGGCTGTGAAGCAATAAGGAAGCAGACAAGAGATTTCACAGAGAAACACATACCTCTTTGGAGGTAAATAAATCAATTGGCCTCCACTGAATAAACACAACTCAGGTTTTCTTAGATTATTCTTTTCCCGGCTACCTACAAATGCTGCAACACCTTTAAATTTTAAGATTAAGTTGTCAGTTCTTATGACAGATTTCCCTACTCTTAAATTTCTAGGAGAGGAGGGAAATGTAGGGCAGCCTTAATTTCTCTACCATGTGGCACTGCTCTCTTAATAATTCATACTTTCACTGTCCAGGAGAAAAAATGGATACCTAGTCTGAGAGTATGGAATCCTGACCCAGCTTTAGATTGTTAGAGACTATAAATCATCACACTTGATGGGTATGATTCAAAATCTAGTGTTGCTTAAGCTAAGGCAATTAGGAAGATAGTTTTTAAGTGATGTTAGTCTTGGTTAAGATTTCTAAGTCCGCATAAGAGCCCTTAGCCTGATAATTGCTGAAGCACTAACGTGGCAGTAGCAACTACAGAAAAAGTAAATGTCATAAGAAAGGGATTATTTTTTAAATTACCTCATCTGTCAATTTTACTGTAAGAAACATATGGTAAAATTGAAACGAAAGGTCACGGGCTGCTTTAGATGCATGGACTTAAAAATTAGAGGAAGTCGTCAACAACTTAGTTCTTATTCATTACAATCATTTCATTTCGGAAATCTCTAAAAGACAAATGGAACTTTTGAGCCCAGAAAGATGAGTTTTTGTCACTTTAACCCCAGAGTGGCTTAAGGTCAGAGAAATAAAGTGATCATATGCTAATAATAGTTTATCCACCCCTATCCATGAGGAGAGTGGAAATGATGGCCTAGAATTGTCTTTTACTACATTATATACAAGGATGTGAGTGTGTGTGTGTGTTTGTCCTTGAAAAAACACTATATCACTTCCCCCAAAATAAACTCCCTAAGGTGGTGATGATTTCTTGTCCATCTTCAGTGCGAGTGCTCAGCAGTGTTTGTTAAGCGATCCATTTCCCAGCCTTCTTCACGTCCCTCCTGATTCTTGAAGCAATAATCCTTCCAGCATCTAACTTGACTAATTATTTCTTCTACATCCTTGACATTTAATCTCTCCAAGCCTCTGTTTTGTAATCTATAAACTGGGGGTGAAAATAGAACTTCCATATATGTTAAAATTAAAAGAGTTAACCAAATAAAAAGGCACATTTTAAAACGAAGTACCATCCAGATACTGTCCATTCTTAAAAGGACAGATAGATGTGTAAAAGCAAGGAAAAAATGAGGGAAATATAATGAGAGTATAACGAGTCACTGAACATGCTATTTCCTCATTCTTTATTCTGTATTTCCTGGTTTTAGGGTGTAAGCTTTGAAATATTGACTTCACCCAGAAAATCCGAATGAAATAAAGAAAACCCTTTGATAATACCTAAGATACCTAAGTGAAATATAATCCTATATTCAAGAAACAGCAGAGAAATGAAGGTAAGTTTCAAAATAAATGACTTCTAGAATTTTACAGGTCTTCTAACCCAAGCTAGTTTCCACATCTCACCTTCATCATTTCTCTCATTTCCTTTTGGTCTAATTAATCAAAATCCTTCCTAGAATGTTCATATCTGGCCAGTATGTCTTCCTGAATATGAATAAGAAATAAAATACCATTTGATGTTTGAAATTATGGGGGTAATCTCAATGACGGAAATAGATGACTGGTAAGAGGGAAGCGAATGCCTGATTAAATATATTCATGAAGATGTCAAGGGTTTATAAAGCCAATGTCTGGGGAAGAGAAGGCTGTAGAACTACCAGATCTTCTCTGGCGAAGGGTGTTTCCTGAATTATCACCCACGATGGAGAGCGAAGGGTTGACACTGAAAGGTATGTGCAACAACTCCCTGAATTCTTGGCTTTATCAACACTCCTGTGGGGTTATTACTTTAAAATGTTAGCTAATATCCTCATAGCAAGAGGATTCAGGTTTACAGAGTTTCAAAAATCTATCTAATCATTGTTCTAAAAAGCAATTGTACAAGGGCACAATAGAAGAGAATAGCAGTTCTCAAATGGAAGAACCCTTCTTCTTCCAGAGACACATGGTTAATGTCTGGACATGTTTTGGGTTGTCTTAATGCGGGGTGGGGATATCTAGTGGGTAGAGGTCAGAGATGCTGCTAAACATCCTGCAATGTACAGAACTGAGCCCAGAACAAAAATTTATCCAGCTCAAAATGCCAATAAAGCTAAGGTTGAGAAACCTTGGACTGGAATAAGAAAAAAAGTGTTTTTAGGTCCAATTTACCACAACTCCAGAAAGCAGAAACTAACATTTTTTGGTTCCCAGTCCTCTTATGTGATTTGGGCAAGATGGGTCAACCTGATGAAATTTGCAATTCTGAAGCCAAAATATAGACAACGATAGTAGAATTGTCTCTTAATAATACTTTGTCAATTGGGTTTAAGCCAAATGACATTTCAAAAGAAAAAAACAGGCTAGTAACAACTAATCTCTTGCACTTTCTTGGTTGATATTTGCAAGAAAAAAAATTAGTACACCTATAAAATTTATTTTATGAAATGAAGAACAAAAACATTCATCTATTTTATCTCATCTTAGACTGTGAAAATATTTCAGAGGATAAATGTACTCAGAGCTAAAAAATATCTACCCAGTTATGAATTTCCTAGTACCAATATTCTAATTTCTGTATCCGCAAGGTACTTTTTATCTATACCTGCAGATAAAATATCCATCCATCTATATTACTTCACTATAATGCACATAAAATAAACTTTTGGAAACATCATGCTTTTGAAAAATTAAAAGTCGGTTATATGAATAATCTTACATCAATTTTTTTTTCAGCTAAAAGATTGTTTAGTTACAGTCTATACTAAACTTTTTTTTAGGTATTTAGGTTTAGGTATATTTTCACACAAAAATCTTTAACATTTGCCTAGTTTTATCTTGGACCTTTCCAATTACATTTATTGAAGATTCCGCAAAAGCTTAGTTTTTTTATCAACATATTTTTATATCTGATATTCTTTTGGAGTCATTTGAAGTCCAAAAGCTATTTTAATATGTTGTTTCTTTCCTTTTGAAAGTGTAAACTACCAATATGTTAGAGGTCTCTATATCTGTCCATTTGCTGAGATAGCAAATTGACGTGGTCCCTGTCACACAAAAGCAGATTGAGAGCACACCCGGTGTGTGTGATATAACATGAGGAAGTGAAAAGATGATGATATTGGCATGCAGCCTCCTCTACCTGCTAATAATGAGATTGGGGGAAAATCACTTACCCTCGCTAAACCTTGTCTTTCATCAATATAATTTGATGATAATAATGAAGGCTGAGGCTATCTCACAGGGTTATTGTGAAACAAACATTTTTTTAAATTAAAATTTTTGGCAAAGTGTCAAGCAAATGCATGGAGTTATTAATGTGTGTTAGCAGATCTAGGTTACAGCATCATTTTTACATTAGAATTCTCTTCATATTCAATGTTAACAATCATGTGATTGTTCTTATCAAGCATGAAGGTAAAAGAAACCGAACCACTGTGCTATTCTTGCCATGTCAATGTCTAAAATGAAAGTATTAGTCAACAGAGTTAAAAAATTACCAACCCCTAGAGAGCCAGGATGCTGAAAATTTTCAGAAACTCCCATAATGCTCTACTATCTTAAGAGAACGACCTAAACACTTGGGCTCGGCATTAGTTTAAGTTCCAAAGGTTTGCAAAGTACAGAAGCATGTCTGGGAGCAGTAAAAAAATGCAGGGAGTAACCTATTTATCAAACTATATATCTGTGCAAATATAATTATAGATCTAAATTTACACAGTGGAAAGTGTTGATTCTTCCCCACCCCAGCTATTACACAACCAACTCTTGCTAAGGGCATTATGGGAAGGTAAGACTGTCCTCCACAGGATGGCTTTTGATAACCTCAGTTGAATAGATCATCTGAGAATGGCTCCTGTTTTTAGCAGGGTCACGCCTACTCCTGCTACTGCTGGTGTCAAACCTACTCCTGTGCAAGAGTGTGGTCTCGCTGCCCGTCTGTCCCAGTGGGGCTGCCAACTGCCAAGTGTCCCTCCAAGACCTGTTTGACCGTGCAGTCATCCTGTCGCACTACATCCACAACCTCTCCTCGGAAATGTTCAATGAATTTGTAAGTACCACGGTCTTGGCTTCTTCCCAGAAGAAACCTGCTCATGAATGACTGGGCTACACCACACCTTAAACAAGAAAGACACATCAGCCAAATTTCGAATTATGTACTTTACAGGCAAAAGAAGGTCTTGGTTAATAAAATGTGGAGCAAAAAGAAAGGAGACAGTTTCATGACATCTCAAAGATTCTTAAAGAGTGTACTAATTTTTAAAATTTTTCTTTATTTTTTAAAATTTCCAAAAAATTGTAAGTCCTTTTACTAGTCACCTTTGGCTTTCATAAACTGGGTATCTAAAACAACAGAAATTAATTTTCTTACAGTTTTGGAGGTAGAAGTCCGAGATCTAGGTGCTAGCCTGGTCAGGTTCTAGTAAGGGCTATTTCCCAGGTCGCCTTCTCCCTGTGTCCTCACATGGGGTGGGGATGGGAGGGAGGGTGGAAGGGAGAGAGAGAGTGAGAGAGAAGCTCCCTGCCATCTCTTTTTGTAAGGACAATGTCCTATGGATCAGGGCTCCACCCTTATGACTACATTTAACCTTAATTACCTCAGTAAAACTCCTATCTCCAAATACAGTATGTTGGAGGTTGGGGCTTCAACATATGAATTGGGGGGAGGGTAGAGACAAACACCTAACATAAAGTACTTTTAGGTAGGGCTAAGGAAAAGGAAGCATGTTGATTTCTTATCCTTGCATATAGGGTGCATATCTCCCAAGGTAGTCTTCACCTAGCACACTAAGTTAAGTGAAAATTGCACCACAGTGAATTTGGTGGATTGATCAATGTTAAACTAAACTGAATTCATGTTAGGAAAATAAATAATGAACGCTAGCTTTTCTGAAACCCCAAAACACCATAAGTTATTATTCTAAGATCTCCAGTATATACATTTAGAACTAAAATAGAAGGATTAGTTTAGAGCTGGAAACAATTATTCTCTTTCTGATTAAGGTATTTTAGGTCAATTAAGAATACCATAGTAGAGGGGCCGGCCGAGTGGCGCAATGGTTAAGAACTGGCTTGGGATGCCAGAGGGCCCTGGTTCGGATCCCACATATGAGGGCCAGTGACACTGCCCTCTACAGCTAAGATGCTGAACAACAGCTCAACCTGGAGCTGGGCTGCCGTGAGTCACTGGCGACGGCATAGGCTGCAGCCCCTGTGGCAGTGGGTTGCCATAGGCTACCGTGTGTAGCCAGCAGCCAGCGTGAGTGGCCAGCAGCCGCAGTGAGCGGCCGTCCAGAAGCCAGCGACTGATCTGCCTCACCCGGGAAGAGTGCAATGATGGTGCCAACTTGGGCCAGTGAAGCAACGTCCTCCACAACTAGACTGAAGAACAAAAGTACAGCAACTTGTCTGTCCCCCTTCCCCCAATTCCCTAGTGCTGTTCCCATCCCCCCAATTCCCCAATAAAAATCTTAAAAAAAAAAAAAAGAATACCATAGTAGATTAGAGCTTTCATAACTCAAAGAGCGTCCATAGAGAATGTGACTCAATGTTTATAATAAATATGTATTCATATAGTTATTTTTAATCACTAATTTTTTGTTCATCTTCCATTTTTGACAGGCTGTCTTCGGTCTTCAAAATCTTCCTAGTAATCATTTTAAATTTTCACTTTTGCTAAAGATTCGTTTTCATGTGTCAAAATGTTAGCTGTTTTTTTTTCTGTTCTTATTCTCAGTTCATTGCTTAATATTTCCTTAAATTTTATGCCATTTTTCTGACTTACCATTTTGTTATGATCAACAAATTGTATTCTGCATCAGTCATGAACATGGTAAAGTATATGCATAGATTCAGAGATTAGTCAAAGAGAAGTTATAATTTTATAATGCCTATTAAAGAACATATTGGTTCAGACCCACATTGAACAAGAGATCAAATGGCTAAATATAAGTACATATACACTGTGACATTTGGTTCAAATACTAAAGAAAGATGATGCTTAGTAAAACATTTAATATTTCACATTTTTGGTATTTTTAATGTTTGCTTTCCAAATAGTAACTTGTGAGAAGGTTGAAATTTAACAAGGGAATAGCAAAGAAGAGAAGACTTTGGAATTTAGAAAAGTTAGATGAAAAAAAATGTGTTTAAAGAGATAACAGAAAGGAAAGATAGAGAAAGGGAGAACTTCCTTAATTCTTTAGTTTCAATTTTTATGTGACTCTCATTATATATATATATATATATATATATATATATATATATATATAATTTTTAATATATTTATCAAATGTGGTAATATTTTGTTAATGGCTTTACTGATTCAATGCCCAAAAAGTCCTAACTGAAATGCTTGATCACTTCCAGGATACACGGTATGCCCAGGGCAAGGGGTTCTTTTCCAAGACTATCAACAGCTGCCACACTTCTTCCCTCCCTACCCCTGATGACAAGGAGGAAGCCCAACAGACTAAAGTGAGTCTTTTATCCAAGTTTCTCGCCAAAAAAACTGAGGCAGTAGACTGCTGTTACCATGCTATAAATTATTAGAGGTACTATAATCATGGTAATTGCACATTCATAGCAAAAAGGAGGAAGAGTAAGCAATCAACAAAAAATGACATTATTTGCTCGGTGAATTATCAGTAAAATCCAATGCTGACTAAAGGTTGTAGCAGCAAATAACAAATCTATAAATTGTCCATGCAGATAATAGGATGTTAACCAATGCTGTAGACCCAGGACTGCATATATTATACTGTATGAAAGCGTGAGATGAATTGGACTTTCATGTGTCAAATATAAGGTCTGCAAAATTCATACATATGTAAGAAATACAAATGCAGTTTGACTTACAACTTCTTACCCAGTGGCGCCTACAAGGGCAGCATTTCACATTACTGACCTCTGCACCAGCTGAGCCATTTCTTCTGGACTTTCAAAACTTTCTTTCTGATTCTCCTACTTCTCTGAATCCTACTTCTTTTTTCATTCTTCACTTACTCCTTTGCCATCTCTTATTTCCTAATAATAAGTCTCCCCTCAAAGCAGGTCCTGCAAACTGTTTTACTTCTCATGACTACAATTATTGCCTCTGTTCTGATGACAACAAAGACTGCATACCAACCTCCAGCTTCAGTTTCGTATTATAATCTCTCCCTTCTGACTCCCTGCCATAGCCACAGTTAACATGATTGAAAATAAACATCTTCATATATTTACCTCCCATAAACACAACCTGTTCTCTCTTTACAACTTTGTTAACGGTACTAGCATTTTTTCTGTCTGCTAAGCTCATTAATAATAATTATGACAATGGGCTAAAATAAAGGAATATGGTAAAGAAGGAAGAGGAGGAAGAGAGGTTGAAATTTATTGAGAGCTACTACATCGCCAGACACTGTAAAAAGCACTTTACGTGCATTACTATATTGAATCATCACACAAAATCCTATAACACAAGGTACTGTTATTAAACTTACTGAGATAAGAAAACCGAGAGTTAGAGAGGTTATAGAATTTGCACCAGTCACATCAGTAGTAAGCAATGAGTCTGGGCTTCATCCAATTCAAAACCCTCACTCTTGGCTGTTATGCTACAATGCCTCTAGCAAAATCATACTGCCATCCACTTTCTAGTCCCTTTCTTTCATATCCTAGTGCATGTTTCCAATGCAATGTTTATTCCATTCTTCTCTATTCTTCATTTCCCTTACCACCAGACTAATTCACAGACATTGAGAAAGTAAACCTTTTAAATCAGAGATGATGGCCTCTTTGGAGTTTCATGCATGACCTTGATAGTAGTAAACTATCGGGCAAAATCCTTCATTGTGAATTCATTTAATGCTGTTATTCAAGAAGCATTGTGCCATTTTATTCACCTGAATACAACAAATAAACTGCTCTGGTAGCAGCATGGGACAGGGTTGATAGACGGAGGAGAGCATGGTTCTGAATTATACATCTTCGTTACCTCTTTGTTCTAATATTGGAAAATAAAACTACAAATCACAAATGAATATATTAATGAACCATCTGATTCATAAATATGAATGAATCTTTGGGTGAAAATGATTTGGACCCTTTGTCATTGACACCAGTGGACTCTGTCTTTCTTGAATCGGGAAAGGCACACATAGGGAGTTCCAACAGAATTCTCTGGTTTCTCCCCATGGACAAGCAAAGAGGTCAAATATAAAATAATTCCCTGAGGGGGCGAATGGTAGAATTTCAGAAAGAAAGCAAAATTATTCATGCTACAAATTAGAACTCTCACTAGAAGAAGTAGTTATTTTAATAAACCAGATTTTAGCAAAGTTTAAGCCAATGACTTAAATTTTGTATTTTTACAAATTTTACCACCTACAAAAAAATTTTACATGCACATAGGAATAAAAGAGATATTTATATTTAGGGCAGTCTTTCTGAGCAAAAATCATACATAACCCATTGTATTGTGCTTATTGAATGTCACTGTTTTAATGGTTGCTTAGCACGAAGACCTGCTGAACCTGGTACTCACTGTCTTGCGCTCCTGGAACGACCCACTGTATCATCTAGTCACAGAAATGCGTGGTTTGCAAGAAGCCCCAGACACTATCCTATCAAGAGCCATAGAGATTGAGGAACAGAACAAACAGCTTCTAGAGGGCATGGAGAAGATTGTCGGCCAGGTGAGGGGCCTCTTGATGCTTCTTTGTTTTTCTCATTCATGAAAGAGGTGACCTCTGTGACGAGGAATTCGTTTTGAAATATCTCACTCTGCAAGGACAAGAGTTAGTCATTTTACATGCAAGATTGCTATGAAATAAATCAAGAGCCTAGTAATTGGTAGTGATAGATTCTATTGCAAGTGAATCTTAGCATGCTACTGTGATCGTTGGCAGGCACAACCTTCCCTACTCTGCAGACAAATCTGCCCAAGACTTGGCCCTTCCTGGGGACAGGCAATTAAATTTTTTTCAAGGGAAAGGAAACTGAAGAGTAGAATCTGCAAGATCAATGTTTTCCTCAAAGTACCCCAGGGTGCCTGTTATTGAGCTTTTGCTCATATTCTTCCTCTTTTCTTCTCTCACCAAAGCTAAGAGTGGGAAGGGAGAAAAGAGAAAATCAAAATCAGGTTGGATGGTGTTTCTTTCCACTCCCCGAAACCCATGCTAGACAAATTTGTTAGGGAAGGAAAGAGACTGAAAAGATGAGGCCATGGCATCGAAACTGTCCCAAAAAGCACTAGACTTCAGTGGGACACAAAAGAAAGGGGTGTGTCTTTTCTGAAATGTTCTTTGTTTTGTAATTTTCAGAAAGTTCAGTCATCCTAAATTTTGTTGAGGGGATCTTCAAAAATGAAACCCGTACATTGCATTTAATTTTCCCCATATAATTTGTCATATTTAGATTGAGGTAATATTTGCAATATATATCTCCATGTAGATGGGATCATTTCAACATGCATGAGATAACATCTAAACAGCTTTCTGAAGTTCTCAGAAATACTTTATCATCTAGAGAACAATATATGATTATAAGAATAATAACAGGAGAAATGTTTTATTTCCCTTATTGTGCACAAAGTACATGTTATGTGTCACTGTGATCATTTTCATAGGAGAAGAATATATCCAACATAAACACAAAGCACATTTTTACTGTGGGACAGATGAAACAAACACCTAGATTTTCAAGTTATTTTCTTCATTACCATGGACCTGCTGTCAGAATTCACTAATTTATTCTACCACACTTCATTTTCTGTTTTTCATTTTACCACGTATTTATGTATTCTTGTTCATATATCATTGTCCCTTGCATAGTAAAGTTTGTCTTAAGGCTCAAGCACCAAAAATAAAAAACATAAAACAAGGCAACAAATGTGCATGCGTACACACACACACACACACACACACACACACACACACACACACACACACTTTAAATTCCAATAGGGAATCCCAGGTTCAAAAAAAATATTCTTTGCCTGCTGGAGAAAGTTGTTTGAGCTATGAGAGTCTACAGTCACCCCACGTTTGTACTTAGTAGCCCTCCAAACTAGTTCACATCCCTCGTTGCCAAGTTGTTCCTTGGTCTGGTCTCTCAGAGCCCCTGGGACTCCCAGCACACAAAAGCTGGTAGAGCATGTGTTCTTCCCTCATGTTGCTCAATGGCCTTTTGTTATCACAGTCAGGCTACCACCCACCCCTCACCCTCACTACTGATGGATTGCTGCCGGCACCCCCCTCCTCATAGGTACTTTTCCCAGCACCTCCCAACCCACAGACCTCAAAAGACAGCAGCTCCTCCTCACTGAAATTTACCTTTCATGGGTGGATTGTGAAAGTCTCCTGACTACTTCAGCAGGTCATCTTAGCCTTAGTCATCACTAGATTATCTGCACCTTAAAACATTGAGTAGAGTCCTTATCATTTCAAGGTCTCTGGTACATAGACTCTATTGAGAATAGAATGCGTTCAAAGCAGGAAAAAGATCAATGCAATTATAGTGATCTGTCGGAAGAAATAAAGTACTAAGTGCACACCAGAGACAAGATTCAGGAAATGAAATCATTCCTCAAGTGAGAGGATTGAGGCTAGCTCCTCCACTGTGTCTTGGTCACATTCACATCTACATTCAAATAGCAACTTTCTGGTTCTCCATCTATCTACTCCTGCACAAACATACTACCTCTGTGATCACATACATATGAGAAAACATACTTGAGTTGTGTTTCTAGTTTTTAGATCACAGATAGATTTCAGATACACTGGCTCAAGAATCCATGCCTCTGTCTATTGAGTTGTACATTCATGTCCCTTCCACAAAGCTTAATTCAACAATTAGAAGGACCAAAGATAAGCAAATACTAATAATACTAATAATAAGTCACTATCTTTTTGGCTATTAGGTTCAACCAGGAATCAAAGAAAATGAGGTCTATTTTGTCTGGTCGGGACTTCCATCGCTGCAGATGGCTGATGAAGACGCTCGCCTTTTTGCTTTTTATAACTTGCTCCACTGCCTACGCAGGGATTCAAATAAGATTGACAACTATCTCAAGCTCCTGAAGTGCCGACTCATCTACAACAACAACTGCTAAGCCCACATCCATTTCCTCTGTTTCTGAGATGGTTCTTAATGATCCATCCCATAGCAGGCTTCTTTTAGTTTTATAGCTGTTTAATGCATGCTTGGTGTAATGGGTCTCATCTTAAAAAATAAAAGCTGACTCCTTAGAGGCAATTTGTCAAAGTTTCTTATCTTCATTTAATAGAAAATCAAAAGACAATAAGTTCACTACCATTGAGAAGTTCCTATTAAAATTTGTCACAAATAGCAGAAGCTAGCATTACAAATAAGGCAATTATCAGCTTACACTAGAATCACAGTAGATTATTATGGATCAGGTTATTAGAATCAAATAATTTGATAATTATTAATCATGCTGGTCACGCTAACAAGAAGACAGAATACTCAAGATTCTTTATAAAAGCCAGACATATATGCCTACTATCAGTTAACTTTCTCAGTGTTATGGTGGACAATGTAAGTCCTATGACACTGTAATGCACCCAAATAACAAGAGGTTTACTGAACAGTCTAAAATTATTAAGATACTGTCTTAGTCTATTTGAGCTAATACCACAGACTGGGCAGCTTATAAACAACAGAAATTTATTTCCCACAGCTCTGAAGGCTAGAAGTCCAAGATTAGGGTGCCAGCATGGTCGGGTGAGGCCCCCCTTCTGAGTCACAGACTTGTCCTTGTATCCTCACATGGCAAAAGGGGCTAGGGAGCTCTGTGGTTCCACCTTTATAAAAGCATGAATCCCATTCATGAGGGTTCCACCCTCATAACTTAACTACCTCCCAAAGGCCCCAACTACGAATACTATCACCTTTGGGGGTTAGGATTTCAACCTATGAATTCTGGGTGGGGGTACACATTCAGACTATGGCAGGTACAACCATGAAATGGTTTTATCCTTCCCCAGTGGCTGTCCTCAACCCTGCTCTACTGAATTCTCATCTTCTTAGTATCCTCTTGGACACATCCCACATATTCTAGTCACTTGGGGTCTAAGAAGTCCAGTCTATTCAAGTTTCCACTCCATCCCCTATTCAACCTCTTTAATGTTTCCTTCTCCCCTATTATGGCTCAGAGATCTCACAGGGAAAGTAGATGTGGTTAAGTTCTTCAAGGTATTTTTCCTCTCCCTCTTTGGATCGCCATTTCTCTGACTACGTTGGATGAGACAGAGGATGAGGAGACCTGAAAAAGGCTTGACATCGCCGAGTGATGTGGTGCTATTATAGCTTTCTCATTGCTCAGAGAGATTAACCTTGAATTTCCTCCGAGCAGCAAATGTCTCTCTTGTGATTTCCTAGGACATTCACAAGTGGGGACACCCCAGTATAGTTTCTTTACCAGGGGTATACTCTGGCTCAATTCTTTACCCCACAGTTCTGCCATCTGCAGTATTCTCCACAGCCGCGACTGCTGTTTCCCTTGTCTCGCAAGCACCCGGCCATAGAAAATTGTCTCAACGTCCGCTATCTATCAGCTGACCAACAGGAAACTCAGGCATCATAACCACTCTAAACAACTGAATGGCAGTAATACTAAATTGTATCTGATCCCTTCCTGGGGGTCTCTTGAAAATTCTCTTCTGTTCACAGAGTGGCTCAGAAAGCTGGATTCACAAACAGATATTAACAGAAAAGAAATGCCATTATCTCCTTCTTTCAGAACCAATGAGTAATTCCCTCTGTTAATATTGATCTTAGAGGATCAGCCTTACAAACATTCCCTACTCAGCCACTGAATGACAGCACCCTCCTCATACACTTAATCTTCTATTGATCGAGACTGGAGAGAGGTGACTGGGTTAGAGTATCTCAGCTCGTTTGACTGCCTCTAAACAACCTGGGTTGAGGGCCGATCTCTTGGTTGCTCTCCTTAGAAAGTAGTGGTACACCAGGCTGTTTTTGCAGCAGCTCTGGGGCTTTAGCAGGAATTCCTAGACAGCAGACAATAGGAAATATTCCATCCAACATCCTGATAGACACAAAACAGAAAGGTAGAAGGGAAGGGGGATGAAGAAGAAGGAAGGAATAGGGAGAGAGAGGGAAGGAAAAACAAGAAGAGGAAAAGTGAGTAAAAAGACTTAGGTTGTGAAGGATGAGATGTTATTAGAATACTGTATTTGGTGAAGAACTAACTTTCATATCCTAAGAGAAAATATCTCGTTTTCCTTTTACCGCCCTTTTCTCTTTTCTCTTCATTTTCCAAAATTTTCCCTTGTATTAGAAATATTCTTTGCCCTTAATAATTGACTTAAAATAGCTCTAGAGATGAGCAGAACTTGGCACCTCTTCAGATCAGAATTTAAGGCAATTTTCTCCTGCCATGCAAAGAAACCTTTCCCATACATATAGCAAGATTATCCACCCAAACCGACCTCTTTTCTCATATCCAGAATTATTTTTGTCTGAGTCCTGCTCCTGCCATTAGCTGTGATGACCCAAACCTTTCAGAACACAACAGAATACTATGCCCCAAACCAATCTATCAATCTCACCCACTGCTCCTGCATGCATGCGAAATGCCAGCTTTCTCCTATTTCAGCTTTCTTCTTTTAAAAGGTATGAGAGTATGGGGGAAACCTTTATGAACTTTCTTTCTAAGTCATTTAATGCTGAAAACATCTAATTCTATTGTGTTGCCACTTAACTTCCTTTTCTTCAGTTTCTAGATATTTCCAACAGAGAGGATGGTATTTATCAGGGGTGAAATTTGGCAATAAAAGGACAATGCAATTGTATGAAACATAAGTTCACCACTAGCCCACTTACGTCTTCATACATTCTTCTCTTAAAAGTTATTCCAAGCACAAATTTAAGACTTCAGATAAACAACTGAGGTGGTGATATTAAAAGACCGTTCCCTGTTTGACCATGACATATAAACTGAATACTGTAGTTTTCAGACAAAATTGAGGAGAACCATAGGTGTTCTGTAGAGTCAGCAAGGGGTAGCTAGAAAGAGGATATTTTGGGAAAATATTACAATCACTCCCTTACCAACCAGAGCGAATCTATATTTTTTCCTCTTTTACAGATTTCCATATAATATTACATTTGCAGGAATGGCCCTTCTATAGCAAGAATAACAGCAGTGGTTACAAACAGAAACAAACAAACAAAAAACCCTTGAAATTCACTGATCTCATAGATTAGTAAGTCATGTGCCACAGCTACTAAAAAGGCTGAAAGAGAGGTAAGAAAAATCTCTGTCTTCCAGGAGTTTGTTCTCAAGTTGTAGAGAAAGACAATATCGCATAAACATGCAAATTAGTATACTATACAGTAGAGGAAAGTTATTGTAATAGGTGATGCTAAACAAAGTGCTAGAGTGAATTAACAAACAGCGAGGAGTCATTGGGATGCAAGAACAAGGAAGTTTTTTGGAGGACATGATTGCGATGGCTTTATGATGGAGTTTTGAAGGGTTGGTGGGATATTGATAGGCAAAAATAGGAAGACAGCATATCTGTCAATTCATTTAGAATCATTTGGTGATATAATTATCCTCTACATCCTGAGCAAAAGGAGCTGAGGTGTTAATTCATACAGCATTATAAGATATCAGTAAATAATCAAGTTTGACGAAAACACAAGAACTGTTTTTTTTTTTAACAGACATGTAATACCTCTCAATGTTATGCTCCCATGACATGTTATACACACAACTATTTGGATAGTAAAGATAGGAAAGACAAATAAAGCAATGAAAGACCCTTAAATGCATGTACAAGTGGAAAAGATAACATGTTTTAAAAACAGATCCATGCTTGCACATCATACCAGCGTGATAGGAGCTAGGGAAGCCTAATCAGGGATGGCTTCTTCACTGAAGGCTCTCTGTGTATTGGCACTGAGAAATCTTATTCAACTCATCTGTTTAAACATGATTCTAAGACTCAGTGCCACTAGTGCCACTGGTTTATGTCCCAAATGTTAAGTACCGTTTTATGCAGCTAATTTTGATAATCTGTTTCCTGAATCACTAATCTCCAAAATATTTTGACTTTATGGCACCCTGTCAATGCCTAAAATTAAGAAAAATTTTAGGGCCGGCCGAGTGGCTCAGTTGGTTAAGAGCTCGCTCAAGAGTTTGAGCTCTGAGCAACAGCAGTTCGAGTCCAGCCCGAGCTGAGCA